CGTCCCCTGGCTGGAGGTGAGCGCCTGCCTGCAGAGAACGCCTTCGCTTTGATTCCCAGCTCTGGCTCAGGAGCTGCCCGCCATCCATCCCTCCTCTGCGGGCCCGAGGGCTTCTGCTGGGGCCCATGGCAAAGCTTCGCCTGCCCGTCACCGGGGACCCTGGGGAATTGCACAGGCAGAAGCGAGGCTGTCAGGGCCTTCGGCATCCCCCGGACAGCTCTGCTGCCGGCCCAGACTCAGGCCTGGTCTCAGCACTGCTGGCTGAGCCTGGTGGGGCGTCCCCACCCTCTGACCTTGGCACCGAAGCAAGAGCACATGGCTCGGCGCTGCCCACTCGGGGTCCAGTCCTTGGCGCAGTCCTAACCTCCCGGGTGACCAGCGTCCTTGGACACTGGTCAGACTCGTGTGCCGGGCCGCAGGGCTCAGCCTCACTTGCTCTCCGCTTCTGGGTCCCAGCCCCTTGAGAGGTGGCCTGGCCCCCACTCTTGCCCTGTGGGTGGCTTTAAGCCCTTTAGCTTTGCCTTTTTTGGGTGGCAGTAAGTGTAAGGTTGGTGACATTCAATACTCAAAACACCTCAAAGTGTGAAAACCAAACCTGGAAGGCAGAGGGGTCCAGGGGCTGCCCACCCACTGCCCCCGCACCAGGCGTCCTTCTTCTGGAACTCAGGTCCCCGTTGGCGAGTCACTGTGCCCCTCATGCGTGTCTCCCCACGGGCCTAGGATCTGGTATGCTGCTGGGACGTCATTCGTTCCTTAAGCATCGTGACCTCACACGTCCATGTGCCCGGCTCCAGGGGGCCGAGGCCTGGCCCTCGTCTCTCCGTTGCTTTGTTTTCTCACCCACACCGCTTTGGCTTGCACGTGACAGGCTTTACAAAAGGCGGGCGGTGCCTGGGCTTATTTCTCGGCCTCCTGGCACCCACGTGTGGCTCTCACAGCCTGCGGGGCCCTCTGCGGCCAGTGCCAGGCACCAGGAGAGGTTGCCAGGTAGACGGCCGCAGAGCCCGGGCTGGAGACGCAGAGCCGAGTTGGTATGACTTCGTGGGTTAGTGTCTTCCAGAAGGATGTGTGTAGAGCATTCCAGAACAGAGAGAGTGGGTACGGGGGTCAGACAGGCCGGGGTCTGAGGGCCAGGAGAGGGAGAACCCTCGGGGTGCTGTGGATGGAGGAGCAGAGGAGGGGCGATGCCTGGGACCTGGGTCCCGAGTCCTCAGAAGGGCACCTCCTAATTGTATTCACCCCGATTTAGAACCACATTCCTCCAGGCAAGGCCAGGGGCCTGCGGCGGGGGCACCTGAGGGACCTGTACAGGCCGCCCTGCCCTCCCTCCTGAAGGCTCCCCTGGCAGCCTCTTCAACTTCACTGCCTTCCGCCCCCGCCCAGATGCACCCCTGGGCGTCCGCCCTGTGCTGGGAGAGCTGAGCTTGCTGGAAGCATCCTTGTTGCACTGAGCTGTGGCTCCCCACCCCCTTAACGTTTCCGATTCTGTCCTCGGAAGCCCTGGGGCCTGTTCTGCCTCCCACAGCCCCACCAGGTTCCAGGCCTCGCTCTTCCTAGTTCCTTTGTCCTGACCTCTCCAGATCGCTCCAGCAATCCCTGTGAGCTGGGCCACAGACCCTCGGCATCCTGGCTTAGGGAGAGCTGATGGCTGCAGAGAGTACGCCACACACAGCCCCAGTCCCGGGGACGAGCTCTGAAGATACCAAGAGGGAGGGACACGTGCACTGACCCGGCCTCCAGGGCTCTAGAGGGTGAGAGGCGGCCAGCCCTTGCGGGACAGAGAGGCTGGTGTGGGGGAGGGAGGGGTGCCCGGGGTTGTGGGCAGAGCCCATGCAGGACATAGAGCCGGCAGTATCTCAGAGCCGGACAGAGGCAGGAGGCTGGGAGCAGGCCCACCTGGGGCTAGTGGTGCCCACACGGGCGCCGGAGGGCCTGGGCAGCCGTCTGTCCAGAAAGTGCAAGAGCCCTGTGCCACCCAGGCAGACAGGGCTGCAGTGTCTAGAAGGAGACCTCCTGGGGTCGCAGGCAGGCAAAGCTGATTGATTTTGGTCGTGAAGTTTGACCTTGTGATGGGGACCGAGCTCCCAGGGAGCGAGACAAACTGCCTCCCCGTGCTGCTGGCCAATAAGCCGGGCTTGGTTTTATAGCCCCAAGAAATTGCTCACTAATAGCCAGACAGATGCTCCCCTGCCTCGAGCTTTAGTGAACAAACATTTCCACATTGCCAACCCAAATAGCCGCTTTTCCTTTTTTTTTTCCTCCAGAGCCAAGGCCAAGAGTCAGGGATGCCCCAGCATGGCCCCGAGCTGGGACTGTGAGGAAGGGGCTGTGCGTTCTGTGCTCTCTGGGGGCTCTGGGCCGAGGACCCTGCTGAGATGCCCTCTGGGGGCCCGAAGCCTCCCTGAGTCTCTTCTCCTGTGGCGACTGTAGGTCCCTGCGGTGCGTCTGCTTCAACCCGCCAGCTCCGTGGCCTGCCCTCCAGTGCTGTCACCGCCCTGTCCTTTAAACTCAGCTTCCCAGACACCCAGAGTATCTTGGTGTAGGAAGCAGCCCGAGGCCACCTTCTAGCCCCCATCCTGGTGTTGCTTCCCCAAGTGGAACCGGGGTGCGCTTCCAGCCCTTGGTGGATGAAGCGTGGCCCCTCCAGCCGGCACCCAGCTCTGTGTTCTTAAAGCCTTGTCTGGCACTTTGTCTCGGATACTGAGGTTTTACTCCTGCCTGCGTCCCTGGGGGTGGCTGGGAGGCAGGTCTGCCGGCATCAGGTCTTCTGGTCCCCGAGGCCGTCGCAGGGTTGCTCCAGGAGGTGGGAGGTGCTGCCGGGTACTGGCGGCGGCGGAGTCCAGAAGTCTCCCTGGCTGGCTGGCCTCCCATCCAAGAGTCCTCCCTGCTCTCTTTGGGGGCCGCTCCTCTGATCGCCGGGCCGGCGTCCTGCAGTCTGTGCTTTCTGATAACGCCGGAGCCGTGTTCCAATGTATTAAACTTTTAACATTTGCCAGATTCAATTAATCTTATCTTTACAACTCCCAATTACAGGCAGTAATTAAGTGGAGCAGCATTGTAGGCTGGGGATGCGGCATTAATCATTGCAGCCTTGGAGCCATAAATTAGTTCCTTCCCGTCCCAGCAGCTTCCCAGGAGCGGAGTGCTTCGCTCCCTGTGTGGAGGGGCCTTCACCCCCCAAAGGCACTTGGGATTGGGATGAACTTTTCTCATCTTTATGTAAATGATGAAAGGCCATTTAAAAAAGAGGAACGCACCTCTGTCCAGACAATGGAAGACAATCTGAGGACGACAGAGTTGAAGGTGCTAGGGTCGCCTCTGCTGGGGACCCTGGGAGCATGCCCGGAAATTAATTATTTGTGTTCTATTGGATTAGAGGCTTTGTGATGTTCGCCTGGTGTCCAGCGCCTGTCCGCTCTTTATTTTTTATTTCTTTTTCAGACAGAGTCTCTCTCTGTCGCTCAGGCTGGAGTGCAGTGGCACGATCTTGGCTCCCTGCAGCCTCTGCCTCCCAGGTTCGAGTGAGTCCCCTGCCTCAGCCTTCTGAGTAGCTGGGACTACAGGCAGCCGCCACCATGCCTGGCTAGTTTCTGCATTTTTGGTAGAGGAGGGGTTTCACCATGTTGGCCAGATTGGTCTTGAACTCCTGACCTCAGGTGCTCTGCCCACCTTGGCTTCCCAAAGTGCTGGAATTATAGGTGTGAGACACCCACCCCACCTGGCCTCTTTACTTCATTAAAAAACAGGCCGTGCACCGTGGCTCACACCTGTAACCCCAGTCCTTTGGGAGGCCAAGGCAAGCAGATCATGAGGTCAAGAGATCAAGACCAGCCTGGCCAACATGGTGAAACCCCGTCTCTACTAAAAATACAAATATTAGCCGGGTGTGGTGGCGCGTGCGCGTATTCCCAGCTACTCTAGAGGCTGAGGCAGAATTGCTTGAACCCGGGAGGTGGAGGCTGCAATGAGCTGAGATTGCACCACTGCACTCCAGCCTGGAGACACAGCGAGACTCCATCACACACAAACCAAAGTCGCCTTTCATTTGGGAGGGGCTGCAGCGGAGCCGGGGCCGTCTCCCAGTCAGCTTTTCCTTGTCTTGCCTCTGACCTGGGAGGGTCTGGGGGAGAGACCAGGTCACGTGTCCTCTCATCTGTGTGACAGTTCTAGAACGGAAGCTGTCGGCCTGTCGAGCAGGGTTGGGGACAGGGCTTGACCACCCTCAGCTGTGTGTCCTCAAGTCCCCAAGGCCCTGTCCTAGTGGCCGTTGCTTGGAAATTGAGGTTTTCATTTTGCCGGAGGCCTTGGGAGTGGGCTGCGTGGTGTCCCCACTGGCATCGGGGCTTCTCGCTGTCCCCCCGAGGCTGTGGGTCCCGGGGCGCACCCACCCTGATGGGAAGGCAGTCCCAGCGTCCGGGGTCGCAGCTTCTGTGTATAGCATAAGCGGGGTGTCACCCCCACTTTGCTTCCTGTTCATCTTAACATTTCTTATTCACAATGGAGCCTTGGTGATCTTTCAGATGCAAACTGTGTAAAAATAAAACAAAGTCGGTGACAAAGGTAGCTTTTCTCATTCCCGAAGCTGCTTTCCCTGTTGGCTCCCGGTACCGGGAAACGGTTGACGCGGGCCTGGAGACCTGGCTGACAGCTCCCGGGCCCCTCGCCACCTGCAGTTCCAATCCAGTGCTTTCTTTTATTTTTTGCCTTTTCAGCCTCCTCCGGGTGGAGTGCCGCTTAACCAGGAGAATCTCCACTCCCGGCTTTCGGAGTGTGTCTCAAGCCAATGAGCGATGGTCCTCCCTCCCCGAACCTCCACCCGGCCCCCTCACTTCCTTATGGATTCCGTCCTGAAAGCCCTTGTCGCCAGCCATCCCCTCTGCACACCCTTGACCACGACTGCACTTCGCTTCTGCCCTGGGCACTGTCTGTGTCTCCCCAAGGCCAGCCCCACCCATGGCCACCACCGACCTTGCCTCTGACGTGCCTCCCTTCTCCTGCAGGTACGCCATCCCGCCAGAGCACGGCAAGCGCCTGGAGCGGCTGGCCATTGGTAGGTGACTGCCCCTCAGCCCGGGAACCTGGGACTGGGTGGGAGGGGCCTGCGGGCGGAGAGGAACAGCTGGCATCCCCCGGGCTCTGCTGCTGTTTGGGTGTGGGTTTGGGGGAGTGGTGACACGCTTTGAGCCATTACTGTGTGATTTTTCCATTTCTTTTCACCCTGGTGGTCAGACCCATGCCCTTCTGCAGCGAGGTTTGTCCTTTGCGAAATCTGCCCACAGTGCCCTGACACTCCTGTTTTCCAATTCTCTTAGTGCAAACTTCTCGGACCTGGCCAAAGGCAGCCGGGGCCCAGGGAGGGCAGCCTGTGTTCATTTTCCTCCCATCGCCCAGCCCCACACCGGGCCCTTGCTAATTCTGAGAACGCCCAGAAAAGGACGCAGTGCAGCCAGCAGTCTGCTCACCTGCGCAGGAGCCGGCGGAGGGGCCGCACGGTGTTTGCCCTTGTTCTGCTGGGACCTGGCCTGTGTGCCCTCAGCAAATGTCCTCACCAGTGGTGCCACCAGCCTGCGTTCACATGCTCCCTGGGGACTCTTGGGAAACGAGGGCTTTGTCATAGAGGCTCCTGGCATGTGCCTGAGGGAGGGCTGGAGCCTCAGGTCATGGGATACTTGGAAAGAAGCCAGACATCTGGAGACACCAGGCTGGGGCCACCCTCAGCACCCCGGACCACCCAGCCCTGAGGCACCTGAGCAGGTGCAGTGAGCAGGGTCCCCGTGTCAGCCCCGGTGGCACAGCACCAAGAGGAATGTAGATTTCATGGCGCCCCACTGCTCACGAGTGCCTAGAAAATTGAGACACAACTGGCTGACACAGTTTCTGCCTCCCCCTGGTCCACTCCCAGCCACCCCAGAGCCGGCCCCTCCGAGCTGGCGGTTGGACAGCTTGGGGCGTGTGAGGGGTCAGGGTCTGAGCACCTGCCCTTCAGGAACAGCGTTGGACAGCCACGGCTTTTCCAGGAGCCCTTGCCCAGCCTCGGTTCAAGCTCCCGGGACTGCCTGGCTGCTGTCCTTGGTCCCTTCCAAACCTTCGAGCCAAAGAACGCCCACCACATGCTTTCTTCCCCCTTCCTGTGGGCTTTTGGCTTTGGGGATGGGAACTGTGTGTCTTTCTGGGAGAATAAGGCTCTCCTGTTCCAGAGACTGCACCAGGAGCCACGTGGCTGTGCAGGAAATGTTGCCTGAGCGCTGTGGCTTCGGTGGTGGGGACAGAGGGGAAGGTGAGTTCGTGGGCCGTGAGCAGGGCCCTCTCCGGGCTCCGGACCGACGGCTTTGCTCTTGGTATTTTTGATTGTTTCTGTGGGAAACCTGGGCCCTGTTCTTATGCACAAATAAGCCCTGGTCGTAGGAGCACGCTTTTCATGGTAGAAATTGGCGATTACAGACAGGCCGTGGCAAAGGTCCAGCTCACTTACACACCAAAGCTGTGAAAGAGAAGCCAGATTAAAGCCTTTCTTCTGTTGTCATTGTTAATGCTGATTTCCAAAACAAATTTGAAGACATCGGCTAAAGAAACATCCCCCACATTGTGTTAGCCTCCTGCGGCTCCTGTAACAAATGACCACAGAATCAGTGGCTGAAAACAACCACACTTATCCTCTTACAGCTGTAGAGGTCAGGGGTCTAAAATGTACACGGAGGGGCTAAAAGTCAGGTGCGGACAGGGCTGGTTCCGTCTGGAGGCCCAGGGAAGAATCCGTTTGCGCCTTTTCCAGCATAGAGGCTGCCCGCATCCCTTGGCTTGGGGCTGCATCACCCTGCCTCTATCTCTGTGGTCTCCTCACTTGCCTCTGCTCTGACCAAATGTCCCTCTGCCTCCCTGTTATGAGGACCCCCGTGGATAGCCCTGGGTGCTCTCCCACCTCAAGAAGCTTCACTCAGTCCCATCTGCAAAGGCCCTTTCACCATGGAAGGTGCCACACTCACAGGTCCCAGGGTTTAGCACCTGGACGCCTTGGAGGTCCATCATTCAGCCAGTCGCGCTTAGGAAGCCACAGAAGAAAACCTCACTGAGCCATCAGCTTGGGTGCTCTCTGGTATCCGGATCAAGAGGGCCACCCCATCCTTGCCAGCCACTTCTCCCCCTCCCTGTTAAACGGAGACTGCAGTTAGCCATTCTCCGTGCCTTCTCACCCAATGTCCCAACCGTTTTCTCTTGCATTAGAAAAGCAGGGCTTAACAAGAGCCCTCTGGAGAGGCCGCAGGCAGCATCTGGCAGTGCCACTGCTGCCCCCCGGCACTGCCACATCTTCTCTCCCTAGAATGTGACTGGTTCTTACCTGGGGCTGGGCAGGGACCTGGAGGGCCGGTTCACTTTTTCAGTATGCAGAGGGCCTAGTGCCTGGGCTGGTGGGGGAGCCAGTGAGGATGTCAGTGTGCAGACAGCCCAGTGCCTGGGC